GCTTTCCAATAATCCTTTCCTGGTCTTGGTCAATATTGGTGAGGATGACTATCAGAAGCCCTGCTCGAGAAGACAGTACGAGAAAGTTCCAGCCATTCGTACCTCTGAGTGCACTCCTTCTGACAGAAACACTCTTTCCAGTGCCTCCAATTCTGTGGACTTCAAAATGGGCTCTCGCAAAGTCCAGATTGAGGAAACAGTTGCGAATAATAAATTGGATATTGCTCAAAACTCTGTCCAAGCCTCTAATCAAGACTCTGCCAATGACTCAGCTCAGACTCCAGTTTTAAACTTAAAGAAGGTTGAGACTCCAGTTGAGTTGTCTGCTACTCCTGAACTTGATGCCTTTGACGCTGGATGGCAAGTCCAAGGCAGAAAACGTAGAAACCGTCGCATAAGACCGACAGAAGATTCTGTTGTGACAGTTTCGGAAAGTGCCTTGAAGACACCTGTGGTCAAACCCATTTCTATCCTGAATCATTTCCAGGTCTTGTCTGAGATAGGTGATGACGATTTCCAGAAACCTAGACCAAGAAGACAAAGGAAAAAAGAATGTATCACAGCCACCTTATTAGAAAGTTCTAAGGCAGCAGCGATACCAATTCTCTTTTCACCTGCTGAACCGACTGAAGATTTGGTGGTGGTTACACAGGAAGTTGCATCACAGGGCCCAACAGAAAATGATAGGGCAAAGAATTTGACAAATCCTGCAAAGGATATTGGCTACAGAGAGTCTGCAGAAATATCAGCAGAGGTATCTGTTGATACTACTATCCATGATAAAATAGTTGATGAAGCTACTGGATCTGTATCAGGCAAGACTTCTGGTCTTTTCTCCTTCTCAAAGAAAGTTAAAGTTATCAACTACGATGATTTTGACTTGTCTCGTTTGCGCAAGCACCGGACACACAAGGAAGATAAAAAAAGCACCCCTCCAAGTCCTGAAGTCGCTTTTGTCCCAGCCCCTTCCAGAGACAACTCTAAAGTGTGGAGAGCTCCCTGGTTTACACCTGATCATACATATCAAGTTGATGAAGAAAAAGAAGATGAAGGTTGGCGAGTGCAAAGAAAAAGACGGCACAAAAGATCTCGCCAGCTCGTGAACCATACTTTGCATTCTGGCTGGGCAACATCTTCGACTTTAGACCCTTCTGCAAAGGTCTCTCCCCTCGATAGCTATAGCGGAATGGAGCCTATACCTGAAAATATTGTCATCTTGTACAAGAGAAAAAGAACAGATGGTTTTTGAATCTTGGGCTTGACATCCATCCGATTGATGAAGTTCTCTACCCCCAGTATCAATCTGTCATTCATGAAAAAGAAAGCAAACAACAACAATAATGGTAAAAACAAAAAAAAATAAAAAATCAAAAAAAGAAAGAAAAAAAAAACATTAATATATATAATATCAATAAACGCTATTCTCTGCGAGCAAATTGTACATTGGCAGTGGTGGGATTGTAAGACTGAGTTCAAAAAGGAATAGAACAATTTCTTAGAAAAGACATCTTGTTGAAACTCTGCAATATCTTGATGGGGCTGAGCTTTTGCAATGAAGGCTTCCTTCCCAAATTCTTTCTCCGAACAGCATAATTGCAGAAAACGAGAACAGGTTGGGTTTTTCCTGGCTATACACAGCCTTGATTTGGTGACCTGTCAGAAGCAAATAAACTAAAATGCTCATCCTTTTGATCAATTGAATGTCATACTACTTGACACATTTAATGACCTTCGTTTTATCAAGACAAATCTGGATTGTATGAATTTCGCGATGAGGTGAGATCGCTTTACCCGCTTTTCACAAATACATAACTTTGACAAAATTTGAAAACTTCTCGATTTTGAGGAAACTGGCTATTTATCTCCATTCCTTTCAAACTTTTAGTTGTTACGTACACATTGTCCAAAAGCAAAAGCTACTCAAATTCTTACTTTTGCGGTGAGGCCAGCCCCACGGTACATGAGTTCAGTGGGAAACTTGTCCACAGATACACTAAGCTCAGCCACCACATCCATAGCTAAATCCCCATTGAGCGCTTTTCTCAAAGTATCTGCCCCAATGCCGTTGGCGATCTTGATTGGAATACGAGATGTTGCATGAATTCCGGGTGGAATCATCAAAAGCTCTGACCATTCTACGTGAGCCAATATCTCGCCTTTGTAAGATGCCAAACAATCAAGTATCCGCACTTTTAGTTCCACGTTGGATATTGGATTGAACACAGTGAGCTCCATTTCTGAAGTCCACAAGTGAAAAGTTGCGTCAATCAAAAACGGGCTTTTCCTAGCTTTTGGTGTATCCTCTCTGACTTCGAAATCCCCTGCCATTCCATGGTGCGGTCCGATCATCTGCAACAGCCCTGTCAGCGGCTGATGTGTGAAATTTAGCTCAGGGAGAAGAATCTCTTCGACTTCGATTTCTTGTAGGAACCGCGACAAATCAGTTTCTTTCTTTGAGCTATCCTGAGTTCCTGCTATTCCAAAGCGAGTTTTATCAGACCCAGAGATTACATGACTAATGAAGTCCTCCAACACGACACGTTGTGTGCTAGATGAATAAAAGACTGTCATGCTAGCAGAGAGTAGTGCCCTTTTCCCAGAGTTGGGGATCAGAAAATTTTCGAGCAGAACAACTGCCACCGTTGTTTTGTTATATTTCAAGTCGAATTTTAAAATATCGTTTATCACCGCCACTGAAGCATTCAAAGGATTTGAGATCTGGAAGTCAATCAAAAACTCGGCGTGCTCAGGGCTGGAAGACACACAGAAGATTTGATATGTCTGAAGCTGGATGTTTTTCATAAGCCATTCCAAAAAAGAAGAGTTATGTTGCCTGGAATTGACAATCTTTCTTGGCGAATCGTACTCACTTTGGAGGCGTAAATCTTTGAGGACAGTTGAAAGCAAACGCAGCTGAATCTTCAATTCATCCAAATCTACAGCCCATTGGGGAAGTGCAAGCTCCTGTTCGATCAACATTGACTTGACGAAACGGCCTGCAAGTCTCGGCTCAGTCAACCATACTGATACATTTCTGCAGTCAAGCGCAATCGCGTTTTGTATCAATTGTAGAGAAGAGCAGTGGGCCTCGGCCGATTCGGAAACCAGTGCCTCGAGAAAGATCTTCCCAAGTTGCGACAAGAACAATTTTGATTTCATGTGAGTTGCGGAAAAATTGAGGCTGAATTGCTTCGATGACGATTTCACGCCAACATCTGCTTTCGCATCGACTCGCACGTGAAGGCGCTTGTCTTCCAGAGTCTCCGCCACCACATTGCTGGAATAAAGTGTGTACTCATAAGTGGGAATGTTTCCCGGAGCCTCTTTCATGTGGGGAGTGGGGATCGATGCATTGACAGACATCCTGGTCAAAGCGCTGTATAGCCATTTCGGTAGCGATTTCGAGTTCTGGACCGAGTGCTTCGCGCTCAAAACCCCTTTGACAGTCTTCTCGTTCGTGATCAGGTGGATGAACCGATTCACAGGAGTCAATCCATCAGAACAGGTCTCCAACAAGGAAAGAGGAATCGAATCGAGCGTTCCAAAGACTGTGACATTGGTGGGCGAGGTCGGGTCGAAGCTCAAGATGGATGTGCGCCATTCCCCAACTGCCACTGCACTGGAGTCACAATCGGCAATGGCGAGCTGCCAGTCAATTTGCCCGAGACCCAAACTCATAGGCATAGCGGGCAAAGATGACGCAAACCTGATGTTCGTGAGGCCGTTGTGCTCGCTCACCGCAAGGCTGTGGACTTCGAGCGGGAATTTGAGCTTGTGTGAGGAAATTTCGATCTGTTGGAAAAGACTTGCGGCGCCCAACTGGGCACTGAACCACCCCGCCTGGATTTTGGGCGCCAGGCGCACCTCGACATTCAAGATGAGTGGGGTTGAGATGCTGTGGCTGAGAATGGACTCAAAAACAAGGGCAGCGCCACCATCCACAAACACCGCATCGGTGATGAAATCCACCTCGCTGACCCGATGGTCGATCAAGTCGACTGGCATTTCCGGGGGGTACATGTCCAACAAGTGTGCCCTGGCTACGTTGTCGGTGGTGACATACACGCGGCACTCGTCCCTTGGGGCAACGACAACTCCACCCACAACAAGCGCCGCCAATCGCGTGGCATGTCGGAGGAGCGGGTTCCCAATACGGGCGTAGTTGGTTTCAACAGTTCCGGTGACGTGCAAAGCAACGCCGTCATCATGGATGCCGAGCACGGATACGTTCTGCAACTGCAGCGAAAACGCGTCGTTGGCCAATTTCTGGAAATCCACCAGCAACGCGAGAACGAGCATGAGCACCGCCAACGCCAGGATATAGGCTATGCTCTTCCATAGGCGAGTGCTATGCAAAAAGCGGCGTGCGGAATGCCGAAAGCTGTTTGCTTGCGCCGAGCCGCCGGCCCAGTTTTCGAGATCTGTGCCGAGGATGAGCGGAGTGGCCTCCGTTGCTTCAGCGTCGCTGGGGGGTGTCGCCTCCAATAAGTGAGAGACTACTTGCGTGTTGTCCCCATTCTCCCCGTCATTCTGGCCAGCAGGCAAAAGGCTCGAAGAGGCAAATGTCGTTGGCTCTGAAGAGCCCGTTGTCCTTGGCTCTGGAAAGCCAGTAGACCCCGGGCCAGGAGAGTCCGCTTGCGGCTCCTTTGCAGCGGTTTCTTCAACGAGATTTGTGGGCCCCGCAGATACAGGGCTCGAGCTAGCTATAGGCCCGTCTGTGCCCCCCTGTTCTACAACAAGATTTGTACTACTAGTTCCCGGCGAGGCCGCGCCTAGCGACCCATAAAATCCGTTCCTGTCGGCCGGTTTCATGTCATGCTCTGTGTCAGGTGCATCTTCGCTCCGCGATATTACAGATTGGCCCTGATGTGGCTCGTCAGGTGCAGCCAGTGAGGGAGAGGGCGTAGGGGCGGCGCTTTTCGACGCGCTCCCATGCTTGCTGTTTTTTCTCTTTTTTCTGCTGCAGCCGGCGCTGCTTTTTCTGGACATACCCGGTGTTTTCTGACCGCACTTTTGGCGGCTTTATGAATTCTTTGGACGTACCCGCCAAAGTTGTATCAAATCGTAGGGACTGATCAGTGGGTGTAGTAGCTCCCACACTCCTCTGTGACAAAATAATTCCAAATGTATTTCACCAAGACTTCCCTGCCTTCAAATATACCGGGGACTTTTTAGATCGAGAAAGAAAAAGGGCAGGTGTGGTTCTTCTTATGGGATTGTGGGGCACACTCGAATCAATGGCCTCTGAACTATCCTTTGCCAATATACCGGATTAAATGCGTCTTGAATGAGACAGGTGATGTAGACAAGACCAGACAAAAGAAGTGCACAATGAAAAGCCTGGGGATCAAAAAGAAAAGTGCCGAGAAGCAAGAAAAGTGGAGGACAAGATATTTTCGTCTCACTGAATAGAGCTCGACCTCAAAGTTTTCAAAATTATCAAAGCCATAAAAGCTATCAAAGCCATCAAAGCTATCAAAGCCATCAAAGCTCCAGTCGCACGATAAGCCCGCATGAAGTTTCACGTCAGGCATGCAAGCCGTGAGCATATGCAGAGGATTAACAATTGTTTATTGGTATTATACAAACATAGAACAAGGGTGAGTGGCGCGCCTCACAGGAATATAGTAGTAGAAAAAGCCCAGCTCCCACACTCTCGACCACGCCGGAGTTGTGCAGAGCGACCAACATGCCACATACAAGCTGGCGGTCCGCGGCCCGTGATGCAAAGAAGCTGAGAAAGAGTAGTATACACGTCTGTCTTTAGCACGATCAGTGGACATGGCCGTGGGCATGGTCGTGCTGTTGAACACTGGGGTCAACATTGGGGTCCACCGAAGGGTCGATGCTTGGGTCCACTGGAGGGTTCAGCAAAGAGGGGTTGCCAGGAGCTGCTTCGATTGCGGCAATGACAGCAACATCTTGCACTGATGGATGCGCAGTCTCCTCGTGATGGTGGTGAGGGTGGTGCACAGGGTGCTGAAGATGTGGGTGGAGCTGTTGTTGCTGGTGCTGAAGGTGCTGGTAAGGATGGGCCTGGAGATGCTGGTGATCAAGCATATCTGGCTGGTACCCGACGGCAGCGGCGGCGGCGGCAGCGGCGGCAGCGGCGCCTTGGCTTCTGTGCAAAGGCTTTTCCACCAAGGTCCTGGTGTACTTGGCTCTCTTCTTCTTGCCTCCAATCATGGCGAAATTGGGCTCGGGGGCATGGTTGTGGGCAGGCTGGATCATTCTCAAGATCCACATCTCCGCCTCTCTTTTGTCCTCCTCGTAGCCGTCAAACTCGTTGTCCTTCTTGATCTTCTTTGACTTGTCCTTCTCAGGAGGGTACAAGTTGGCAACTAATCTGTAGCCACACTTGGATCTCTTGGTGTAAGCAACCCTCTGTCTTTTCGTCGCGTCCTTGACGGTGGTTCTAAAGGAGCCGGACCTCTCGCACTGGAAGTACACAGCCTTGGGCTTGGACGAGTTGATGACAATCTTGCACTGTTCCTCCTCGTTGAGCACGCTCTTGACATACTTGACCAACTCCTGCTTGCTGTTGAACGTCTTGATGATGTCGCCCTCGCCGTGTCTGGAGATGAGGAAGCCGCCGTTCTCGTAGTCAATGCCCGCCGAGGGCATGCCCATGGGGTGCTGGTGCTGGGGCATCTGCTGCTGGTGCATCTGCTGCTGCATCTGGTGGTGGGGTGGGAGGTGCTGCTGTTGCATTGGCATGTGCTGCATCTGGTGGTGCTGCTGCATCTGGTGGTGCTGTTGCATCTGGTGGTGCTGTTGCATCTGGTGGTGCTGCTGCAAGGCCTGCTGCTGCAAGACTTGTTGCTGCTGCATCTGGGCGGCGGCAGCAGCGCTCAACGCACCACGGTGGTAGGCGTTTTCATCCTCGTGGTGGCCCATGACAACCGGGTTGGGGAAATCATGGCCGTTGGCCAACGCAATGGCAGCGGCAGCGGTGTGGTCCATCTGCTGGTACGCTGGGTGTGGCTGGCCAAGGTGGTGCTGGTGGGGGTGCTGGAGGGGGTGCTGGAGGTGGCCTTGGCCCGAGGTCCGCTCGTTGGAGGTGGAAGGTCCAGACATCGTAGGCGGGGAGATTCAGGAAAAGTCTGCCGAAAAGCGAAGTGGCTTTTGGCGGGTGGGGCGAGGCAGCGGGGAGACGTGTCTCGTGTCACTGTTTGTTTACGTTTTCCCGTGTCGGAGAGGGAAAAGAGTGGCGGGCAAAAAAAACTCGAGAAGGAAGTTTTTCCTGCTGGGTTGGTGCTCAGGGGTAAACAGGCGGCGGCTAAGTCGGCGAAACGGCTCTGCAAGGCTCTTGATGACTCGGTCTCCAGAAAACAGAGGACGGTAGCAAAATAAAAGGTGTGGATATAACCGATGTCCTGCACAACTATGTGGTTTGTTTGTCGAAGGTCAAGTCCTGGACATAAAAGTAGTAGGTGTGTGTGAAGGAGGAACTGTTGATGTCGGGGGGTGGGAGTTCGACGACGGTCGTGCGCGGGCGAGGCCGCGCTGTGTGCAGGCGTGTTCTGGCGGGCCAATCAGCGCTTGCGAAACGCGCTGTTTGTTTGGGCTTCTGGTCACGCGCGACGCGAACACAGCAAGAGCCGCGGCAAAACCGGCGGCCCGCAGCGAAAAAAAGAGCGAAAATGGGCGGCCCCATTGGCCAGCGCCTTGGACAGGCCCCAGCCAGAGCCCCATGTAGTGTCTGAGAAAGGTGGTGGAAATCACCGGTCGCCGCTGGAATAAACAAGGCGGCCGATCTCCTGCAGTGTCCCGGGTAATTGCTACAGAAACTGATTGCAGGAATTGATTACTGGAATCGGTTACAAAAATTGATTACTGGTGAAAAGGGCAGGTGGCCGCCAATGGCGGACAGTAGTTTTATGGCCCAGTAGTGCCGAGAGTCCAAGGCAGGATATATAGCGCAGAAGAAGCCGGGTATTCGCAGTGCCCACGCGCCGCCAGATGCAGCACTTTCTCGAGGCGGCTCGCCTGATCCAAATAACTGGAGGCTTGGGCTGTGCTGCTCTGTTCCTGGTGATCCGAGGAGCGGCCCAGCCAGGGGCCCACATTGCCATGTCACCCCCGGCTGTTTGGGACATGAAGACACATCGTCCCACCCTTCGCGTGGGACGCGTCTGGCGCTCGTCCCAGCGTTCCAGAAATGTCCTCGTTTCTTGTGTATAACCATTTTGTGAAGGACTACTGTATCTGACCATGCGTGGCCGACATGGAGCCGGTCTGCTTGTATTGTATTGCGCACATTCGGGTTTGGAGTCTCGGGTCCCTGTTAATGATAGTCTCCGTCGTGAAATCTTGGGTTGCGTGGAGACTTGCGCCGTTCCGTTGATTGCGTGCTTTTGGGGCCCACTCATAGAGACACTGGCTGGCGGATTGTAGGGATCATATGGGCCAATATTCTACAGCGTAGGAGGTCTTGGATTGGTGCACTCGCACTTCAGCCCACTGCAGGTCAGTCTGGAGAATTGGTGTAACTGTCTGACAAAAAGTAATAGCATGAAGATGTCTTCTGTGACCTGCTGCTTGAGGCCGGCTTGCAGGTCGTCGGACAAGGTGGGCATTTGTTGAATGAATCGGCTCCCGGACTTTCGGAAACATGACCTAACGGCACCAAAGTAGACACATTCTTGGAACGCCATCAGATTGTTCCAGAAGCTCCCAGTGAGATTGCAAGGAGGAAAACGGGCCCGCCGCTGTGCTGCTGCAATCTAAGGAAAAACTGGAAGAAAGAGCTCAAGAGCCTTTGCATGCACAGACGACGTCATGAACGATTCCGGGTTCTGACTTGCATCCACCGGGTATTTCTCTATGTGCTTGCAAAAAGCAGCGCATATTAACTTCTCTATCATACGGCGATGAACCTCACAGGGTCGACGGCTTCTGAGGGTCGACGGCTTCTGAGACCGCTGCGCTTTACAAAGCAGCACTGACGGCTTTGGTGGTTCCATCTTTTCAAAAGCTATGCCAAGGGATGTATTTGCTGGAGCTGTTGGCTGAAAGTCAAGTGAGATGATCACTGTCTCCCCGTGAGCCGCACTCCTTCCATCTTTGATATACATAGCCCTTTTACCTTGTAGCCCATGGGCCTTCGGCCAGCCCATCGCCCCAAGTCTTTTTGGAGTCTTCTGCATGGATCCCCCATATTTGCGGGGAACACATGAAAACAGCGAGTGATTCCACTCTCATTTAGCTGGCCGTTTCACTAGTAGCACAACAGTACATTCTCTCAGAATTCAATGGTTTCGGGGCTGTGGAGTCCCCACGTCATAGAGCGGTATTTCCGCATTCTGTGTCTTTGCGGTTCCCTTTGCCATGTCTTGTCTTTTTGGGGCGCTATGGTAGTAGTCTTGATGGTTCTTCTTCTGGCAGACCGATGGGGCCCAGCCGGTTCCTGCAATCTTTCTTCTGCGCCATCGCCCTGATCTGGTGTTTGCAATAAGATCCACTTCTTCCTGCTCTTCAAGTTTCGAGCTTGTGCTGGTGTCCCACGAGTCTTGCAGTTGTGAATAGCGCCATGCTTTTGTTCTCAATCGCACCGCCACCTGGGAGATCGTTTTATTAAGTTAAGATTTTGTGTCGGTCCGGTCATCAAATCCTTCAGTGAAACAAGTCTCAAGCAAATAAATTCAAGGGGCAAGACCCATAATGCAAACATCGCCGGGAATGGACGGCTTGTTTCTTGAGGGACTCCGCATGCCGTGATCCGGCGCCAATCCTCCAGCCTTCAGAAAAAAACTTCCATTTTGCATACCAAGGCACCATCACAAGCGGGTGTTTTTAATAGCCGTGTATGAAGAACAACGCCGGCGAATGTGCTGCACTATGGTGGTCATGGTGAATGCGAAGTAGTGGACTTTGCGGCAAGTTGGGCCGGCCAGGCTTTTCTGCCCAAATAGCTACATGTAAGGCCAGTAAGGCTGAAATGTGACTACAGTGGTCCAGGCAGTGCATTTGTGTGTGACAAAGAAGTGAACTGAAATTTTGCCGTGTCTTTTTGCTCAGTGCACCGCCGTGCCAGGTCTTAGATTGCAATTAATTACCCACAGTATCCCCCCACTACAAAAGTACATGTATGAGTGTGCACCCCTGAAAATCCAGCAGGAATTCCAGACGTCCTCCAGCCCCTCTCCTCAAACCAGCAAGAGAAAAAGACAAACAAAGAGAAAAAACAAACAAACAAAACACGCCGTTGGATCGTGCCGTCATGTTCCTTCCATCGCATCATCAGGCCTGGCGTGGCCATGGGTGCGAATTCAGGGCCGCGCGAACAGACACTCCAATACTCCAGGGCCTATTCACTCTCCCCACAAAACATAAAGAACCCCCAACAAAAAAGCAAAACCAAAGCAAAAACCAAAAAAAAAAACATAAATCAAAACAGCCATGGGCTTCATCAGCAGCACCAAAGCACGCAGGCTCGACGCAGAGCTACACTGGCTCGTCACGCAGATCATCACCCCGGAGCTCCCGCAGCTAGTGGAGGCGCTCCGGATCTGCTCCAATCTTCTTCTATACAACTCGCCCGTCCACCCCGACAAAGCGCAGCGGATCGAGCGGGGCCCCAGCATCACGTTGCCCATATCGCTGGGGAAACTGGACGACCTCAAGGGCATTTTGGTGAGGGACGGAGCGTACATCACGCACATGTCCGTGCACCTCAAAGAACGGCACTTCAACCGCGTGCTCCACAAGCTCGTGCTCAAAAAACCGTACTTGCTTGCGCAGATCATCACGGCCAAGCGGGGAATCGACCGTGCCGTGGCGCTCCTTTTGCAGGCGGCGTCCGTGTTCGACGAAAACCCAAACACGTACTGCGACCCGCAATCGCACGGCGTCCTCATGGCGGTTTTCGCCGAGCTTCTCGCCGAGCTCCAGACGGCCAAGAACAGCCTCCAGCTCCCCACGCAGCCCGAGCTCGTGTTCCCGCTCCACCGCACGGACCCGGCGTTTTTCGAGCCCCTGTTGTCGCCCCACATTGCCTTGGATCTCTACATCAGCCAGGCCGAGGTGTGCATCGACCTCAAGGACTTGGCCGCCGTGCACGACAGGCCGTGGTGCGAGATTGACCCGGTGTCCGGCAAGTCGTACGTGGACACGATCCGCGACCAGATGTCCGCCGGAAAAGCCGACGTGAGCGGGCCTCACGCAGACGAGAAAAGCGACCGTGGCTTGCTTGGCAGCGTGTTTTCGCACTTGCTGCTCAGGCCACGCCACGAGCCGCACGACTACATCGCCCGCTGCGTGACCTACAACAACCTGGTGGTGATGGTGAACAAGAAAATCGAGGTTTCCAGCGCAGACCCGGTGCTTGTGAGCGCGTTCACCAAGCTCGATTCCGTGGAGCACATGGTCAGCAGCTTCTTGGACAACATCCGCACGCTCTACCAGGACGAGGTGCTGGGGCGGGCAGAGGAGGGGGAGAAAGGAGTGTGCTGAGGCGAGCTGGGGAGCCGCTTTCAGCTTGGCGACTGCTGAGAAACGCACGCACTCAACCACACGCCCAAGGGTTCGATGCTGTGGATCACGGGGAAGATTTACTCCGGGTCACCGAGGTAGATTTGCTCCGGATCGCCGAGGTAGATTTGCTCTGGATCATGGGGAAGATACGCTCGCCGGAAAAGATTTGCTCTGAATCGCCGGAAAGGATTTGCTCCGGGTCACATGAAGATTTGCTCCGGATCCCCGGAAAAGGTCCCCAAGACCGCTGTGGTGTTCGGAATAGCCAAGGGCCGTTTGGCTGTACTGCTTGTCGCTTTCACTGAAAGCTTTAGGAGGCCAAGCGTGGCCCTTGACTAGCCATGACTTGGATGCCAGGGCTTGAAGCCGAGGTGAGCTCGTTTCCAGGACGTCGACATTACAGACCTGGAGGACAGCAATAACCACACGTCCATGTCGTTTTGATGGCAAGGCCCACGGGGTGCGTTGTACTGTTTGCTCTGTTGATTGTGGGAAAGAACGTTCTACGGAAGGTGGCGATATTCCGAGGATCTGCCTCCAAAAGTGACTGGAAAGGGCTGGTGCGGGTGATTTCGAAAACTACGGTATGCGATCGAACATGCCTGATCTGTCTTACGAACCATTTGAAATTGGCAATCCCGTGGCTTTTCCTTCAAAGTCCAGACAAATGAACCCATGGCTATTTGGAGCGGCAGTCACGAAATGCTTTTCAAAGTTCAGAGGCTGTTTTTTCAGTGTTTCACCTACAGGCGGAAGAGTGTTCGATAGGCCCACTCTTGCTCAAGGCCAGCACGGTCCACTTTTCGCAGCCGCAACTTACGGGTCCTTCTTCGAACCACCACAAGCTGGCCATAATACCAAAGGCCCGATTTTGAATCTGGTGCTGTGAATCCGGCCGGACTAGCACTTACGCATCTCTCCCTCAAAGGGCGCAGGTTTCTAAATCGAATAGTTTGCGGTGTGGTTATTTCCCGGGACAGGGTTTTGCCTGCACGCAAACAATCTCTTGCACACACCGCAAGAGCATCGTACATTGTACGTTCATTGTCCGGGGACATTAGACAAAAAGAGACCTATGCCCCCGTTGATGCTACCCGTGTTTTGGAAATCCAGCACAAAACTGGATAGATGGATTCGGAATACAAAAAAGGACTGCATAGCGCCGGCGACATGCCTCTTTTACTGCCCTCGGCTCGTGCCTCCAGAAATGCGCGCCGTCTACGCCCAGCGACGCCCAGTGACATCATACCCAACTTGGCCGGGCACCTACGCCGTCTTTTTTCTAAGCATATGATCAGAGGTTTTCGGAACACACGTGCTCTTCTTGGAATCAGTACCCAGTCCGTTGCAAAGAACTTCCACATAAAGCACAAGTACTCCACCATGCTGTCTGCATATACAGTGTTGGCCGAGGACTCGGCCATAGAGAAGCCCGTCTTGGATGATAGGAAGTACCGATTCTTGAAGTTGGCCCAGAACGACCTCCATGTCTTGGTGATCCACGATCCAACCACCGACAAATCCGCCGCGTCGTTGGACGTGAATGTCGGTTCGTTTGCTGACAAAAAATACACCATTCTGGGCTTGGCGCACTTCTGTGAACACTTGCTATTCATGGGCACCGAAAAGTACCCCGAGGAAAACGAATATGCCAGCTACTTGTCCAAACACTCGGGCCACTCGAACGCGTACACGGCCGCTGAACATACCAACTACTATTTTGAGGTGGGGTCCGCACATTTGGAGGGGGCGCTTGACCGCTTTGCGCAGTTTTTCATTAGCCCGTTATTTAGCAAGAGCTGCAAAGACCGCGAGATCCGGGCGGTCGACTCCGAAAACAAAAAGAATCTCCAAAACGATCTCTGGCGCATGTACCAGCTCGAAAAGCTGACCAGTAACCCCAAGCACCCTTTTAACGGGTTTTCCACCGGCAACTACGCCACTTTGAACGATGAGCCTGAAAGTAGGGGCCTCAATGTACGTGACGTGTTGCTCCAGTTCTACAAGGAGCAGTACTCGGCCAATCTCATGAGCTTGGTCATTTTGGGATCCGAGTCGCTTGACGAATTGACCGCATGGGCTGCCGACAAGTTTGCGGCAATCCCCAACGCTTCTCTTCCCCGGCCCTCATATGACAACGAGCTCATTTATGCTCCGGAACAAATGGGAAAGCTTCTCAAGGCGAAGTCTATCATGGACACCAACAAGTTGGAGCTTTCGTTCATGGTCCCGGACGACATGGAGAAACATTGGGAGACGAAGCCAGGCCAATACTACTCGCACCTCTTGGGGCATGAAAGCAAGGGCTCTTTGTGCTACTACCTCAAGGAGAAAAACTGGATCACGTCCCTCTCTGCCGGAAACATGAAGGTTTGCCAGGGTAACTCCTTGTTCATGGTTGAGGCGGAACTCACTCCTCAGGGCTTAGAACAATGGCAGGATATTGTGGTGCACGCCTTCGAGTACCTCAAATTATTGCACTCGCAAGACCCAGAGGAGTGGATTTGGAAGGAGGTCAGCGACATGTCCGAAATCAACTTTCGCTTCAAGCAGAAGCTGAGCACATCCTCCACTGTCTCTAGAATGAGCAACAGCCTTTACAAATTTGTGGGCGACGCTCCAATTCCTCCTGAGAGCCTTTTGAACTACACCATCATGAAAGACTTTAACGCGGCAAAAATCAAGAAGTACGGCTCGTACTTGGTTCCCTCCAATGTCCGTCTCAGCCTCACGTCACAACTGTTCGAGGGCTTGCCGTCGAAAGAAAAGTGGTACGGTTCTGAATATTCGTTGGAGGACATCCCCCGCGATCTTTCTAACACGATCCAGAACGTTTCGCTCAACCCCAAGTTCCACATGACTGCGCCAAACAACTTCATTCCGAAGGACTTTTCCGTTTTAGGCAAAAAAGCAGATCGCCCGCTTTCTCACCCACATCTTATCTCTGACACACACAGGCACGAGACATGGTTCAAACAGGACGACTCCTTCGAGGTACCGAAGGGTTACATCAATCTCACAATCCTCACCCCGGCATTGGGCGAGTCCATCCAGTCTACAGTGCTTGGTACATTGTGGACCGAGTTGCTCGATGACGAGTTGAACGACTTGAAGTATTATGCCGAACTTGTTGGGTTACACTGTTCTATCTATCAGAGCAGAAGCTCCATTACGTTGAAGGTGGGTGGATACAACGACAAGCTTCCTGAATTTCTCAAACAGATTTCGCAATTTCTCATCTCGTTTACACCAAAGTCAGACAGGTTTGAGTCTATAAGGTACAAACATGCTCAGCAGCTCAAGAATTTCGGCTACTCCACTCCATACTCTCAAGTCGGTGCCCGCTTCTTACAGCTCTTCAACGAAAAGACCTATACTGTGGAAGAGAGATTAGCGATCACTAAGGAAGTGAAGTTTGAAGACCTCGAGAAATTTGCTTTGGATCTTCTTTGGTCTAAAGGCGTGTTTGTGCAAACCCTCATTCACGGAAACTTTGACTACTCCAAAGCGCGTGAAGTACATGGCTCCATCGAGCTGCTCTTCAAGGAAATGCCAAGCATTGACACAGACAAGGATATTGTTAGAAAAACAATCAAAGCCCAGAGCCACAGATTGGCGAAGAACGAGAATGCCAGGTACGATATCGAATTGGGCGATCCTAATAATGTCAATTCATGCATTGAGTACTATGTTCAAGTTGGAAAGTTGGGAAACCAAGATGCTAAACTCAGAGTTCTTACCGATCTCTTGGGGGTCATGGTATATGAACCATGTTTCAACCAGTTGCGAACCAAAGAACAGTTGGGGTATGTTGTCTTTTCCGGGTATAGACAAAACAGATCCGACTTTGGTTTCCGGATCTTGATCCAATCCGAGAGACTGTGCGACTACTTAGAGTACAGGATTGTTGAGTTCTTCAAGAAGTTTGCCGCCAAGAACCTTGGCCCCGAGCTTACCGACGAGGCCTTTGACAAGTTCAAGAGTGCTCTCAAGACCAAGAAATTGGCCAAGTTGAAGAACTTGCATGAGGAGTGCAGTCGTTTCTGGAATGCCATCAGCGATGGCTACTACGATTTTGAGCAGAAGCAGAACGATGTCAAGATTTTGGAAGGCATCACCAAGAAAGAATTCCTAAGCTTCTTTGACCAGTACTTTGGCTATTCTGAAAGCAACAGCAAACCGATATTATCTGTGTACTTGAAATCACAGAAGGTGCCTTCTTTCGATGGTGCCAAGGCCGTCTCTGCTGCTGTATTCAACTTCATTTATGGGCAAGACTGGGACGTTAGCTCAGACGTTGTGGACAAGATTCTCTCCGAGAATGATGGGGATACACCCAAAGCGATCGAGGAGATTGTGGCTGCCGTGCAACAACAGACTCAGGGTTCTAATTTAGACTGGGACGTCATACAAAAGAGGTTTTTAGAGCAGGTCTTGGAGAGGGCGGCTTTGCCCACACCTGCAGCATACCCTCTGGGTCAACCAGTGCAGTCGGAAAGCGAGTTCAAAGCGGCCCACGAGAAGGGAGAGATGCCTGGACCCGTGAAAGATTTGACATCTTTCTACTATCCCCAAGATGGGGCACACTTGTAGGTGATATGGAGTGGGTCTCCAAGCCTACCGAGCCTGAAGTGGATAAATGGTTGAGTTTGAAGAGTTCCAAGCGCCTTGAGAAGAATAGGCTTCTTCTAGAGATCTTTATAAAGTTCCAATGGCTGCGAAAAGAGCGCGTTGTGTAGCCTTAATGAGAGTCTATAGATTCGTATGTGGTCATGGAAGTCAGTATGCAAAAGCACACGGTGTGGCTTTCGAAATTATCACTCGCACAATATTGCTCCAAGTCAGTGCTTGGCCGTATGGCTTGCAATGATATTCATCGCCAGGATGCTGAGCGAGTGGACATGGTCCTTTGCGAGAAATGCCTGGGTACATTTACACAATTTGAAACTCTTGAGAAAGTAAGATTCTGGGAAGAATGCGTACGCCCTCAAACAAAAAATGTTTTCTCAGAGAGACCATAAATTCCCACGACATCCAACCCCTTCGAGTGAGGTTGGAAAACCATACGTACATGAGGCTCTTGGTCCAATGTGGGTTTGGGTGCGAAACTGGGGTTCAAGCATAGTGCCATTTCGTATTATTTACAGCGGTGGTACATTTTCCCAATAAACTTGAACTAATACAAAGTGGCTTTTGGATACTCTGAGAAAGCCGGGAGATTCTCAAACAGAAATATGGCGCACAGCCTCTGCTTGCAGAGGAGAGATGGAGTGGGCAAAGAACTGCATTGTGCGGGATACCCAGGCCGGGGGAGAACGTGCGTTCATGAATGAGAAACAAAACCACAACGACCTTTTCGGGCGTTCCCAGAAAGGAGCAGGAGCGCACCGAAAGCAATTTTCATGAAACATTCGAATCGCCCAGCCCACTACCTCCACCCAGAAACCGAGAAGGTCCCGCCAGTGCCTTCGCCCTGTCATCCAGCCATTAAGGGGTGGATCGGATCGAATCGGACCGGATATCATTGGTGGTATATATATAAGGTTACATATAAATTTAGATATAAATCTAGGTACAAAAATACAGTATTGAATAAGCATTTTAGAAAAATATAGTATTGAATAAGCATATTAGATACAAAAATACAGTATTGAATAAGCATATTAGATACAAAAATATAGTATTGAATAAGCATATTAGATACAAAAATATAGTATTGAATGAGCATATTAGATACAAAAATATAGTATTGAATAAGCATATGTGCTGAATTAAATCTTTGAAATACATGACTGTATATTATATCGCCCTTATATTATACAACAAAAACAATGTTACTTTAAATACCTTATTTAGTTTATAACTTTGACTGATGGGACAAGAACGAGTCGTAAGTAACAAACACTAAACATACTTATACATTTTGCATTTCAAACATATTAAAAGATAGACATCTCTAAAATTCATACATAGTAGAAGTGGTGTTTATATGTGAATAAATAGGATTAATAAAATGGTTGTATGAGCAAAGAGAAAAGAGTGGATTGCATCCGAGTTTCGTGTGGAGCGTTGTGCCAGCCCAAGGCACCCGTCAAGCGGAGGCCCGGCATACCTGCGTTGCAAACCAGGCATTTTCCGGACTTGAGGCGTCTTATCATTAATGGCCGCACCCAGTCCAGTAATAATATGGGCCGCAGTCCAGTAGTACTATGGGCCGCACGCAGTAATAATGGACTGCATGGAAAGCCCGTGCCCAGTCCCCATAGACCCCACGAAAGGGCCTTTTACCTAAAAAAAAAAACTCGAGAAACGGCCCGCGGCTTCCTCCGTTTACGCCCCGGCCCCACCCACACGAATCCTCCCCAATTCCTCCTCGCCAGCCTTGCGGCGGGGCAACAGGCAGCAGGCGCCGGTCACGTGCCGGTCACGTGCCGCCGGGCGCCCCGCCGAGTGCGCGTTCTCCACGCTAGCAAGGCATGGATACCGATCCACGTCGAGGCACCCATTTCTTCTGTCCGCCACGCGACCATGCCGCCCACGCTCAGCCTCAACCGAGTCAGCGAAGTCTATTTCGAGAAGCTCTTTGTGGCCAAGAACAACACCGCGCTCGCGGCCGCCGTCAAGGCCAAGGTGCTCCTCGTGGACAGGGCCACCATGCCCATTATCTCCATGAGCTTCTCGCAATCGCAGTTGCTCCAGCAGGACGTGATTCTCATCGAAATGCTCGAGAACACGTGCGGGCTCTCGGCCATGAAACACCTCAACTGCGTGGTGTACATCAAGCCGCAGCGCAGCTCCATTGCGCAGCTCTGCGCCGAGTTGGGCCTGCCGCACTATAGCCACTACCAGTTGTTCTTCAGCCACACCGTGGCCAAGGCCGACTTGGAGAAAATCGCGCTGGCCGACGAGTACGAGGTCATCAACCAGGTGGCGGAGGTGTTCCAGGACTACTCCGTCATCAACGACAACTTGTTCTCCATCCAGGCGCCCGACACGGCGCCAGGCCCTGCGCAGAACGCCTCCGTCGAGGAGGCACGGAGCTTGCTGAGCTTGCTCTTGTCGCTCAGCAAGTGCCCCGTGATCCGCTACGACGCGGGCTCGCTAGCACTGAAGCGCTTGGCGTCGGAGGTGCTCTATTACATCAACTCCAACTCGAACAACAACCTCTTTGACGACGTGAACCGCAGCAACGACACGCCGCCCACGCTCGTCATCTTGGACCGCCGCGCGGACCCTCTCACGCCGTTGGTCACGCCCTGGACGTACCAGTCCATGGTCCACGAGCTCATCGGCATCACGCGCAACGTGGTCAATTTGCCCGAGTCCGGCGAGCAGCTCACGTTGTCCGAGACGCAGGACGCGTTCTTCCGCGAGGCCATGTACTTGAACTACGGCGACTTGACCGACAAGTTCCAGAAGCACGTGGACGACTACAAGAGGCAGACCAAGCAGTCGTCCATCGAGAACTTGAAGACGCAGGACCTCACGGAGCTCAAGAGGATCTTGACGCGCTTCCCCGAGTTCAAGAAGTTGTCCAACAACATCTTGAAGCACTTGAACATCATCAGCGACATCGACCGGCAGATCGGCGCGCAGAACCTCTGGGCCATTGGCGAGCTCCAGCAGACCATCGTGTGCGACTTGGAGAGCCACCCGCAGATCAGAGCCCGCTTGATGGAGATGGTGTCGGACGCGTCCGTCTCCACTCTCCACAAGGTCAAGCTCCTCTTGCTATATGTGGCCAAATACCCCAGCCGAACGGCGGACTTGGACTCGCTCGTGGCCAAGCTCGGCGACCCGGTCACCACCAGCCCGGCGCCCACTCTCTCCCAGCTCCTGCTCCTCAAAAACTTCAGCAAACATTTCCGCGTGCACTTAGATTCGGCAGGTCCCGACAGCAACTCCCCGGAGAACAGCAACATCGGCCAGTTGTTCAACAAGAACAAAATCAAGATCCAGCAGCTCTTCAACACCAACGTGGCTCTGAACGCAAACAGGATGCCCAAGAACGACAACATATACATGCAATACGTGCCCAAGCTCGGCGACATCTTGGCGCTGTTGACAGCGCCCGCCAGCAAGGCCCAGCTGCACAGCAGGGAAAACACCCCCGAATCACTGGACCTCGCCATGCTTGTGCCCGACACGGTTGCGGCCCAGTATGGGAGCGTAGACAGGTTGGCCACAAACGAGATAATTGTCTATTTCAAGGGGGGCGTTACATACGAGGAGGCGCGCTTGGTCCACGACTTGAACGCACTCACGCCGGACGTCAACTACATTGTGGGCGGGGACCGCGTGTTGAACAGCGCACAGTGGGTCGACCAGATGTGCGACGAGGTCAACGGCTCGCGCGGCGCCGATGGGGCGCAGCCAGACCGAAGAGCGCAGCTCCGCGAGATTCTATGAGTGGAATACGAACCAGCGATCCGGCAAGACTCCCTGAGATCGGGGAGTCAAGAAAGTAGTGAATGTGACGGTAGGAACTTAGGTGGAACCGATCCCGTAGCGTGTCTGCTCATGGCGCGTACTTGCCAAACCTCTGCTCCCAAGCTAGAATCTTCTCCGTGAGGTTCTCCATGAGCTTCGAGTTTTCCTCGACCAGCAAGAGCAAGTTCGCGCCTTCCACGTTGGCCTCCTTGAACTGTAGAGTCTTGACGTCGCGCTCTTCCTCGAGCTCCATCTGGGAACGCCCTAGCCATTCGAGAATGGCGCCCGTGCGTTTCCGGAGCTCGTAGATGGTGGACTTCTCATTGACAAAACGCGGCTGCAGCGGCTGACTTAGTAGTTCTTCCTTTGTGACGACCAGGCTGTCAGCTTCGCTTTTAGGCTGCGACGCCAGGCCGCGCGAGCTCTGCGAGCGTGCCTTTTGCTTTGCGCGCAGCTTGCTCTTAACCCTGGAATCGCGTTTGGCGGTCTTCAGGTCGGTGTCGTCATCGAGATTGGAGTCGTTCACGTCGTTTTCCAGGTCTTCAGAGTGCGAGCGTTTATTGCTCTGCGCAGAGTCTGTTTGTGCGTTTCTCTTCCGCTCGGTCGACGCGGCGCTCTCGCGGAGCGCCCGCTGGAGCTGCTCATCGAACGAGTCCTCGACATGGCGGCGCTCCTTTCTCGTCTGGCGGTTGGACAGGGTGTGCGAGAGCGTGGAGTCGGAATCCCTGGTGCCCGGGGCCTCTGTGGTGGGCGTGTTCGGGCTGCGCCGCGAGCGCAGCCGCGTGGACTTATCTGCCTTGTCGGGCTTTTCCAGAGCATCGTCGGACGCGGGCTTGGCGGCGCCAGACTCCTTTTCCGTCAGGAACTTGAGCAAGGCATCGCGCCCGTCGTTGACAGGCCGGTACAATGTGCGGGACGTGCGGTCCTCGTTGTCCGTGACGAGCATGTGGAGCGACGGCTTGCACTGCTCGCACCAGTATTTGTCAGGAACATCGTTGTCGATGAACAAGCCGACACAGTAGCCGTGCTGCCACACCAGGCACTTGTCGCACTGGATGAAGAGGCCGTTGTCGATCTTGATGCTGTACTCCAGGAGAAGCAAGCGCTGGAGCGATGTGTTGATGGAGGCTATTTCGTCGTTTCCGCAGATGCAGCGGGTCACCTCGGCCTGCTCATCGAGCTCGGGCGCATTGTCGATTTCGGGCGTCCGGCTGCTTTCTGTCGCAGACTGCTTGGCGCGTCCAGAGCGTCGTGACATTGGAGTGGTTTGGGCGGAGAAAGACGGGGATGTGGGGCGGCTTTGGCATCGGCCCGGCACACTTGGGGTCTGCCGCGAGCAGGGCGTGCGCAGCCCATATCAGCAGTCTTAAACAAAATGCGCGCCGCGATTGGGGCTGCAATTATCCGCCGGCGCCAGGGACAAAAACAGGCGCCCGAAGGGCCCGTCTTTCTTCCCGCCAATCTCCGGAACGCAGGGCTTAAAACGCAAAAAAAGAACGTGTGTATAATGCCATGGGCCACTGTGACACGGCAAGCGCCGGAAAAGAGAAAAAAAAGTCAGCGTGTCTTGTTTGCGTGTTCCGGGCCGAGAATGAGAAAAGTGATAACTCCGTGCGCCTCGGCCACGCCACCAGCGATAGAAGCCGCACGGCCGCGGATCAACATGCCCGTGTGTGCAGTACCTGGAGCTGGCCTACAAGTAACAACATGTATGAAATGCTGGTATCTTGGCAGGTCGTGGGGGCTGCGTTTGGATGATAAGCGGGTTTTGACAGGCGTGGCCCCGGAACCGCACGTGACCCCCGAAACGTGGCGGGGCTGTTTTCTGGGCCCTGCTTGTTGACATTGGTGCGCCACGTCTGACCGTCGCCATCGGGCTGCCTGCAGGCCCACCATCATTGAACGGCATGTACTGGTTATATATTGCTCAGGCCATGCGCCTGCCCGCCGTCGTTCTTTTGGATATTCAGGATTTATATATACCGGGCGATTCCGTGGCTTCTGCATCTGAGATCTTGGTAATTTCTGAGCTTTGCAAAATCATCGAGCATTTCGTGGGACTTTGGCACTCGCATAGCATTTGAACCCGGGCCGTGATCTTCGTACATACGGAGATAACTACGACAGTGATAACTAGGACAGGAGTTCTGACGACGGAGTATTTCCACAACGGCGAATTTCAACAGGACTGTATTTCACAGCAGTGAGTTCTACAGCAGTGAATTTCAACAGTGAATTTCAACAGTGAATTTCGACAGGACTGAATTTCACATCAGTGAGTTCTACAGCAGTGAATTTTCTGTAGTGAATTTTCAATAGTGAATTTCGACAAGACTGATTTTCACAACAGCTTTTTCAACAGCTTCTCCAACAGCTTCTCCAACAGCTTCTCCAACTCAGCGTGTCCCCCGTCGGCTACATTCCAGAAATGTCCGTTCCGCAATCGCTCAGATCGTTTCTCAGCTCCAAGGCCTTCCACCGCACGTGGGCAGGCACGTTCCAATGCAAGCCCCTGGCCGTGTTCCAGCCTAGCAAGGTGGGCGAGATCCAGGAGATGATCCGCCAGGCCCGCGCGGCCAAGAAAACCATCATGACCGTGGGCCTGGGCCACTCGCCGCTGGACTTGACCATGACCAACGAGTGGCTCTGCAACTTGGACAAGTACAACAAGGTGCTCAAAAAAGAGGAGTTCTACGGCCCAGCGACCGACGGGCTGGGCAAGAAAGAGGTCAAGTTCGTGGACTTGACCGTCGAGGCCGGCATCCGCGTGTTCCAGTTGAACGAGTACCTCAAGGCCAACAGCTTGGCGATCCAGAACTTGGGCTCCATCAGCGACCAGTCAATCGCAGGCCTCATTTCCACCGGCACCCACGGCTCGTCGCAGTACCACGGGTTGGTGTCGCAGCAGGTGGTGGCCATCACGATCGCCAACAGCAAGGGCGACTTGGTGGAGTGCTCGTCCGTGCAAAACCCGGAGCTCTTCCGCGCGGCCTTGCTCTCGTTGGGCAAGATCGGCATCATCACGCATGTGACGTTGCGGACCGTGCCGCGCTACACCATCAAGTCCAAGCAGGAGATCATCAAGTTCCTGACGCTCTTGGAGAAGTGGGACACGCTCTGGCTCGAGTCCGAGTTCATCCGCATCTGGTGGTTCCCGTACTCCCAGAACTGTGTGTTGTGGCGGGCGTCCAAGTCGGACGACCCCTTGAGCGACCCGCGCAGCTCGTGGTACGGCTCGCCGCTGGGCCGGTTCTTCTACCAGGCCTTGCTCTGGCTCTCGGTCAAAGTCATGCCGCGCTTGACTCCTTGGATCGAGAAGTTTGTGTTTGGCCAGCAGTACGGAAACGTCGAGACCTTGGGCAGCGGCGACATCGCCGTGCAGAACTCCGTCGAGGGCTTGAACATGGACTGCTTGTTCTCGCAGTTCGTCAACGAGTGGTCCGCGCCGCTCCAGAACGGCCGCGAGGTGTTGACACAGTTGAACGACAAGATCCAGGCCGCCGCGGCCAAGGGCGATTTCTTCGTGCATGCGCCCATCGAGGTGCGGTGCCTGAACGTGACCAACTCGGACCAGCCGTTTACGGACGAGGCCGGCAACCCCTCGTTGTACCCGTCGCAAGACTGGCTAGCCAAGAGGGACCGCTTGAGCGCCGGCCCCGTGCCCGGCAACAACTTCCGCCCGTTGTTGGACAACTCGCCCATGCAGACGTACCAGCCAGACCCCTCCAAAATCAGCACCGAGCAGTTGACCATGTTCGTCAATGCCACCATGTATCGCCCGTTTGGCTATGATGTCGAGACCCACCAATGGTACCAGATCTTCGAGAACATCATGAGCGAGGCCAAGGGCAAGCCGCACTGGGCCAAGAATTTCATTGGCTTGCACGGCCCGCACGAGTCGGACGCAGACTTGCAGACGCAGATTGCGTTTGGCGGCAAGCCGTTCTACTCGATGATGGGCTTTGACCCGGTCATGAAGGACTGGTTTGGCGACAACTTGATCAAGTACAACAACGCGCGGAAGGAGATGGATCCAGAGGGCGTGTTCATGAGCGGCAAGCCGTGGGCCGTTAGAAACGGCATTTTGATAGAGTAGAGGGCCGGGCTCACTTGTGCCCAAGTAGACAATCAGTTGACGTTGGAGCGCGTGTAGATCCGCGGAAGCATTCTTTCGAGAAGTGTCTATTCGCTGGGATGATTAAAGTGCTCCCTGCCTGGGGGCGACAGTCCAGCGAGAGTTGCCGATGAAGTAAGATGGAGCGAGAATGATCGTGAAGAGGGCACTGTAGATGGAAAAATATCGATATCGAAGATGTATGAGTATGATCATGAGGACGATGGAGAACGATGATAGCAAGGATTGTCGTGAAATAAGAGTAAAGATTGTGAACATGGATGCTACTTGCACTAGAGTGAATACCCTGCCTCAACTTATACAACCATAGGCCATACCACAAATGAAGCTTGCATTATATGCTTCTGTCTCATAGAGATAGGGTTGGTTTCATCGGCAATTCTGCTTCCTATGGGCAAAAGACTTCATACCCTGCCGCTCGTGGCCTTGCTGTACAATTCATGCTTCGGCAAGTTTCATGCACCAGGTCTTATGTGAAACTCGAGCCTACATCTGGAATAATGTCGATGTTTTTCCAGGACTGACTTCTGCACATTGGTCATGTTTCTTTTTTTCAAATGGAGGGGTCAAGAAAAGGCCACTAGAAATCTAGTTTCGCCATTCGACTAGTTAGAGCATCCCCGCAACACGGAAAAAGCCAATGGAAGACCAAATCAACATTCTTGAAACCGCATATATCTGTTGGAAATTGTGATTATCAACTAGATTTCCTTGCACCTTCTTGTAACACATGGTGTAGAATATCCCTGAATCCAACAAAAGAAATAGTAGGAGAAATTTGGGGATACGCTCTTGGCTCGACTGTTCAACCTGTTCTAGTCACATTGCTCTGAATACGCATTTGGTTTGAAAATTAAGTAGGTCATCTTGAACGTGAAGAAGATTTCATTTGATTGGGTTCAGGCGTAGTCCAGGAACGCTCCACGAAGTCTGTGGCGTTAGTCAAGGCTCCCCGGTTCAATCGCAAATCTTATAACGGGTGCATTCAGATTCAATGGCGGGGGTGGTTTTTCGAGGATATATTAACAGACTGGGTAAAATCTCTTGTATTTCGCATGGCTATGCGAGCCTGGATTTAGGAAGCTTTTGTTTCCAGCGTATTTTTGTCACGGACTTGTGAAATGACTGATGGTCTCTTGCACAGTCTCTACTTTCAAATACCCATGGCTGGACTGGGGTTGCATTATGAACTGGAGGTACTTGATGTATACGCAAGATCCAGGGAAAAACAAAAGAACATGTCGACTAGTGGGACGTCAAAAGTAACCATTCAATTAAAAAACATATGTAACCATCGGGCGGCGCTCTTCCATCAGATCCGGAGAACGTCCATGATGCTGACTTTCTGCAGCCCGATATCTATCAGAACTCGCAATTTCTAGAGGGATGCATGGCCAGGAATAGTAGTCCGTAGGACAAAGCACGATCGGGGAGATTCCGGCACAATCACAGGCCGAAACCAATAGTCTATGAACCCAAATTGCGGCCCGTGACTACCTCACCAACAGCGGCGAACACCGCAGCAAGCAGAACGGTTATATGAAGCAGACCCTTGTAAGCGCTCAAAGACAGCGCAAGGGAGGGCGGCCATTGCGGAGACGGGACGGCCCAATATAGAGACAGCCTAATGTAGACAGTCCAATGTAGACAGCCCAATATAGACAGCCCAATATAGACAGCCCAATGTAGACAGCCCAATATAGACAGCCCAATATAGACAGTCCAATATAGACAGCCCAATATAGACAGCCCAATATAGACAGCCCAATATAGACAGCCCAATATAGAGCAGCCCGCCGCAGAGCAGCCCACTGCAAAACAACACACGTCACGCTCACTTGAACGGCGCCTTCATCGGGTCGATCACCACACCCTGCTTCACCTCCACACGTGGGAGAATGGTCTTCTGGTGCGTGGCCCGCGACGCCCACTCCTCGCCCACCGGCATGCGCAAGGCCCGCTCGTACTGCTCGCGCGACTCGTACGGGAACGGCACGCTCAGCGACTGGTACTTGAGGTTGTGCTTGTTCACGGACTCGTTGACAATGACGTTGTCCAAGCCGCGGTCCTGGCGCTGGTCCTTCTGGGCCACGCCGTCGACCTTGCGCACGAACTTCTTCTTGGGCTTGCCGCGGGCGCCGGCGCCGCCCCAGCCGCCCCAGCCCGGCAACGTCGCGTCCTCCTCGCGGTCGGCCTCGGCATCCTCGACCTGGGCCTTTTCGGCGCGGAACGCGGCCACCACGTCGTCGCCCGCAAACGCCTCCAGAATGAGGTTCTGCTGGCGGAACATGCGCGTGTCGGCCTGGTCGTCCTCGTCCTCGCTGCCCATGACGTTGCCGCCGATGCTCATGACCTTGTCCAAGTCGATGTACGTGTCCGGCTCGCGCGCGGCGCCCGCGGCCTTCTTGCCGCTGCGCTTGGCGATCTTGTGTGCGGCCTTGTCCAACCTGGACGAGTCCTCCGTGACCGTGGAGTACTTCTGCGACTTGGGCGCCGCGGCGGCCGCGGCGAGCCACGGGTTGGTCTCTGAGCCGTCGCCGTTGTCGCTGTCGCTGCCGTCGCCGTCGCCGTTGCCGGCCTGCACCGTGCTGCCAGGCCCGTCGGCGAAGCCCGTGAACTCGTGCTCCTCGACACGAAGCCTCTTTGGCGGCGGCCCGTCCGCAGAGTCCAGCACCGGGCCGTCGGCGGCGGCGCGGGACAGGCGGTCCGCGAGCCGCGCGTCCAAGCTCTTGGCCTCGTCGTCGCGGAAGTCGCGGAGCGTGTCGTCCTCGACGTCGGCCAAGGCCTCGCGCAGCGCCACGGCCGCCGGCGCGTACACGCGGCGGCCCTGGTTGTGGAGCTGGTTGACGGAGTCCGCGGGCTGGCCAAACAGCTCGATGCCCGTCTCGCCCATGGAGCGCACGAAGGCCATCTCGCGCTCGTTGGCGCGGCGCTGCTTGGCGGCCGCGGCCGTCATGAAGTCCATGGCCAACACGCCCTTGCCGAGGCGGCCGCGGGCCGAGGCGTCGGCGGGTGCGGCCGCGTCGTCCGCGGCGTAGTCGCGCTCCACGTCCGACACGTCCGCGTCGCTGGGCTCGCCGTCCGCGTGGCCCATCTGGCGCGCCCGCAAGCGCTCGCCCGCACGGAGCATCTCCTCGAGCTCGGCGCGCGAGGCCGCGTCCTTGGACAAGCCCGCGCGGATCATGTTCCTGGCCCAGCCGGACTGGGTCTTGTGGCGGAGCGACATGCGCTCCTCGGCGCGGCGCATGTCGTGGTCCTCGGGCTCGGACTCGGCCAGGCCGGCCACCGCGTCCGCATCGCGCAAGCGCTCCTTCTTGCGGATCTTGCGGAACTGCTTGGACTTGATCTTCTTGATGCGCTTGGCGCGCTGCTCGTCGCGGAACATGAGCTCGCGCATGCGGCGGAGCTCCTGCGTGCGGCGGAGCACGTCGTCCTTGGAGAGCCGGGCGGCCGCGAGCTGCTCGAACGTGGCCTCGTTGGTCTCGTCGAGGAGCGCGCCCGCACGGAGCACGCCGTCCACGCGCTGCGCAAGCGCGCTCTTCTGCTCGGGCTCCGGCACGGCGCGGAGCAGGTCCACCTGCGCCTCCGCGTCCATCTCCTGCTGGTCCGCGGCCGCCGGCGGCGGCAACGGGAACGTCACGTGGTCCGCGGCCTGGAGCGCCCGCACGGACTCCTGCCAGCGCGCCACGTCCTGTCTGCTGAGCTCGTACGCCACGCGCCGGTCGTTGCGGTCCTGGACGTGTTTGGGGAGCGGCACCGCGAGCGTGCCGGCGGCCGTGTCGTCGGCGTCCGTGGCCACGAGCGGCGCGGCGGCCGCGCTGCCGGCCGCCACCATGTCGGCCAAGCGGAGCTGCCCGCCGCGCGTGGGCACGCTGTGCTCGTTCTCGGCGATGGTCTCGGCGACGAGCCGGCGGTGGCGCGGCACGGCGCCCACGGCGCGCTGCACGGTGCGCGTGGTGGCGGCCAAGTCGGGCTCGGCGTCGGAGCCGGAGCCGCGGAGCATGGCGTCGTCGGACTCGGAGCCGGAGTCGGGGTCGGAGCTGGAGCCGGAGTCGGAGCCGGACCCAGACTCGGAGTCAGACTTCAGCCCGGACTTCGAACCGGACTTCGAACCGGACTTCAACCCGGATTCCGTCCCGGAGCCAGACTCCGAGCCAGACCCAGACTCCGACCCGGACTCCGAGTCCCAGCGGTCGTCCAACACCACGTCGCGCGTGCGCCGCGCCGCCGCCAAGTCGCGGTCGTCCATGGCCCAGGCCTCGGAGAGCGGCACGAACTCGGCCTCGTCCACGCTGTGATACGCGGCGTCCGAGTCCGAGTCCAGGGCAGGCTGTGTTTGTGGCGCGCCGCGCCGCGCCTTGTGCTGGGCGCGGAGCGTGTGCGAGAACTTGGAGCTGAGCACGTCGAAATCGTCGTCCAGCGCCAAGGCCTCGTCCGAGTCCAAGTCGTCGTCGTCGAGCGCGCTGTCGGCATGGCTGTCGCCATGGGTTTTAAGGAACTTGCGGGCATCCATGATGCCGTCGCGGACGTGCAAGTCGTCGCCGCTGGCGTCGTCCGAGTCGGCGCCAGCGCCCGCGGCGCGCTCGGCGAGGTGGAACGCGTCGAGCACCTTGCGCTGCGAGCGTTTTTTCTGCGACCGGGCCGGGTTTTTTCTGGCCATCGTGGGACGTATGGGGTGCTGGAGGACTGGGGCGATGCTCATCAGATGTATTTTTCGGCGCGCGCGGTCACGTGCGCGGGCACCTGCGCGGGCCCCGGCACGGGCCTGCGGCTTGGAAATCGGAAACGTGAAAGACAGTTTGGAAAGATGTGAAATATGGTTTGGAAAAACGTGAATGTTGGAAGAACTTGAATGTTGGAAGAACTTGAATGTTGGAAGAACTTGAATGTTGGAAGAACTTGAATGTTGGAAGAACTTGAATGTTGGAAGAACTTGAATGTTGGAAGAACTTGAATGTT